GTACATTCCATTTACCAAAATGACATTGTGGCTTATTAGCATAATATCAGGCTGTAACCTATTTCTGGCAGTTTTGCAGTCATTACCCTATGTATCCCAACATTTTCACCCCTGTGATGATTCAAAACAACAGCAATCAATCAGAAAGTTGATTCACATAAACACAAACAGCACTGCAACACCCTTTATTTTAAAGACTATACAGCATTTGTCTGCTCACCACAGGCACGTTTACCCAATGAGGACATAATTAAGTTAAAATTAAACAGCTGACATGTACAAAGAACTCCAAAGAAAACCGGAGCTTCAAATTTAACAACTGGCATGTTAATGACATACCGAAGGCTTGAGGCAAAGGCAGATAGCAGTGGCTGCTAAGCAGTGATTAGAGGGCTAAGAAGTAGGCAAAGCTTTTATGGAAAATTCATGATTTGACTGACCATAATACAATGACAGCCCACCCAGAAAACAAATAAAATGTCATTATGTTAAAAAAAACCTTAATAAATATTATTTCCTTATGTGTTTGAGTAGCCTGTGGTCAATTTTACCCTACTTAAATAAAAAAAAACAAAACATGAAATGTTACTGCTGTTAAATGTACTGTTGGTTCCTTTTTGTAATGTTTTTGTTTTGTTTTTTGATGGGTTGATATCACAGTGTAAAGGTTCCTAATAGTTTAATCTGTGATCAATTTCAGATGCATATGATGTTTTTCTAATAGGATCTGAAGGTGTTCTTTGGAGTTTTTGGAGATACAGATATCAAGTCTTCATTTAAACAGTCTGGATTATGATCGACTGTAAAACAGTGACAAATGTTTAGATTTTCTCATAATTGCTTGCGCCGGCCACCTAGTGGCCCATGTCCATAAAAAACACTGGATGATCTGGGCCTGTATACATATAGCATTAATTAATTTTCATTTTTCCATACAGAATAATACAACAGGGCTTCCAAGTAGGATTTCACTTAGAACCCCCAATGTTTAGAAATGCCTCTGTATACGGTGCGATGTAAAAGTCATAGACCATCCTTCATATATTTAATTTACAGTCAAATTAAACACAACTTATTCATTCGTTCATATTTTTGCTTCAATGCCATAATCCATTTATACTTAGGCAAAAGAAAAAGTGAAAAAACAGGAGTTTCCAACATTTTGCATTGTTAAATGATGCAGAGAAAACGAGACTCCTAACAATCACCAAATATGCCCTCATCAGATAAACAGCACTTAAAGCTCTCATCTTTGAGAGAGAGGAGAAAATCAAGCTGCTTCAGATCTGAAAAAATCCACAGGTGTTTCTGTCCATCCTTCCACTGTGAGAAGACAACTCTGTGCTATGTGTCTGAAAGGATGCGTAGCTATTAAGAAGCAGTTACTGAGAAAAAAGAGCACCACGTCCTAATCAAATAAAGCTGCTGGTGCTCTCAGAACAAAGGACTGACCACTCCAGCGTCCAGACCTCAGCATCACAGACTGTGTGACTTTGGAGGTGTTTAAAATATCCCTGCAGATTTCTTTGAGAAACTGAAAGCAAGTCTCATGAAAAGAATAGTAGCTGGCAGAGTGCACACACTAAACACTGACAATATATATTCAGTTGTTGAGGCTTCTGAGAAATTTCCTGTGTAATGTTTCTGCTGTTTTTCTCACAACTGAAAAACAAATGACTTGTACTTAATGAAGGTTTTGACTTGAAATTAAACAACAGACATATAGGATCTGACTTTTCCTCAGCACTGCATATCTATAGGCCTCTGTCTCTCACGGTCTCTCTGTCTCACACATACCATAGTTTCCACATGTATCTCTGAGCTGATGTGCGCAGCAAAGATATAGCACATATATGTTTGGGGCCTATTATCACACCTCTGTGGTCAAAAGCTCATCTGATATCATTTCCTGTCTAGCCACTTCTTCACTGGTGAACTCCAGTGAACACTGCAGTTTCTGTACTGAAGGTTTAGTGGAGTACTAGAGAAACACACAGAGAGAGAGAGAGAGACAGAGAGAGAAAGAGAGAGAGAATGGAAGAGGGAATCTATAATAATGTGAGCAGCGCTGAGCTGAGTGAAGCAGACAGAGGAGAGAGAGTGGAGGAGACGGTGGAGATTTATATGAGTGCAGACGCTGTTAGAGCTCAGGAGCCCAACATACAGAGGGAGACAACAACTCAGCAGACAGGTAGAGTAACTCTCAGTGCAGAAGCTCTCAGTGTGTTCACAATGAGAACTTCTTCTATGTCAGTTCACTCTTTATCAGGAATCAGATATTCCAGACTGGCTGTGGTGTGTGTGGGGCTGCTGGGTGTTCTCCTGCTGACCACCAACACAGCGCTGCACATCTATTGTGAGTATTTCAACCCCAAACGCAAATATTCCCTCTTTCAAATACGGATATGTGGAATAGATGTGCTATATTGTAAGAAATATAATTCTTTCTGAATGTACAACCCCATTTCCGAAAAGGTTGGGACGCTGTGCAAAATGTAAATGAAAACAAAATGCAATGATGTGCAAATCATTTAAACACGTTTTATTGAAAATAGTACAAAGACAACATGTCAAATGTTGAAACTGAGAAATTTTATTGTTTTTTGAAAACATATATGCTCATTTTGAATTTGATGCCTACAACACGTTTCAAAAAAGATGGGACGGGGGCATGTTTACCACTGTGTTTCATCACGTCTTCTTTTAAGAACACTCCATAAGTGTTTGGAGAGACACTGCTGTAGCTTTGAAACTGAGATGTTTTCCCATTCTTGCTTGATACAGGATTTTAGCTTCCTCTATACTATCATGAATACTGGCTTTTGAAATGTGTACTGCTAACAAGCTGAGTGGTCCTTAGCCCAGAGGACACAGCGTCCATGATTTCCAAAAAGAGTTTCAAATGTTGATTTGTTGGACCACAGGACACTTTACATGAGCTCGGGCCCAGAGAAGATGGCAGCATTTCTGGATCCTGTTTACCTGTGGTTTCTCCTTTGCGTTTTAGCGTTTTAATTAGCATTTGTGGATGCAGCGACAAACTGTTTTCATAGACATTAATTTTCAGAAGTTTTTCTGAGCCCATGAAGTGATTTCCACTGCAGAATCAAATCTGTTTTTAATGCAATGCTGCCTGAGGGCCCAAAGATCATGGCCAGCAAATACTGTTTTTTGGCCTTATCCTTTGCCTACAGAGATTTCTCCAGATTCTCTGAATATTTAAATGTTATTATATAGATGATGAAAAACAAAGGTTCTTTGCTATTTTATGTTGAGAAACCCTATTCTTGAATTGTTGCACTATTTGCCCATGCAGTCTTTCAAAGAGTGGTGAATACGGAGCACCAGATTTGCCAAAATGAAAAACAACTGAAATTAAAAAATAAATGGCTCAGTAAATTAATCAATAAATAAAAATAACTAAATAAAGTATATATTGCTTATTTTGATTGTAATTATACACATGTGGCATGCGCCCGCCCCCCGATGATGACAGCCGCGAGAGCCGGCAGGAAGGCGGGGCCCGAACACACAGCGGCGACGAACCTTGGCCCCCAGCTTGCAGCGCGGCAGAGCTCGGGACTCGCTCCTCGCCTTAGTGCCTCTCGTGGCCGGCACCATCGTCCTCGTCCTCCTCCTCACGACATCACTCGCGTTCGTCGGCGGAGCTCGGGCTTAGCGCTTGCCACAACACATATTTCCTTTTTCTGCAGTTTTATATTTCTCGATTTATTTATTTCTGTATCATTTATTTTATTTTATTAATGCATTTTTATATATATATAAATATATATATATTTTATTTTGTCTATATTTTTTAACAATTGTTCGCTTTATTTTTTGATTCATGTGTTCATTTATTTATTTTTTTTCATTAATTCATTAATTTATTTATATTTTCATTAAATAATTTATTTAATTCTGTATTTCTTTGTTCGTGCTTCAGGGGCATGTTTTTCACATTCAGGTTTGTCAGTCAAGACCAGGAGGAGAAGAGTTAATTGAACTGTTCTTTCACCAACTCCATAAAGAACTGCAATGTCACAGACAGACAAACCTGCTGATAAATAAATTCCGATGGCTTCCACAGGCAGTATGTGAGAAGGGCGTTCAAATGTCTGGGTGTGATATTTTGTAGAAAAAACGATGAACCACCTCCTCCAAAGTTCTGAATATTATGGGGTCGACCTCTGTATCAGCAGATGTAGCAAAATAGAACAAACCATCCCCACAGCCTCCACATGGAAGAGAAATCATATACTAATTTAAAAAGTCATTTATTTTTATTTATTTTTCATTTTGGCAAATTTGGTCCCCCATAAGTGAACTCCTCCTCATCTTGACGTCTGAAAGACTCTGCCTCTCTGGGATGCTCTTTTTATGCCCAATCATGTTACTGACCTATTGACAATTAACCACCAGATGCTTTTTTTTTAGCATTACACAACTTTATCAGCCCTTTTGTTGCCCCTGTCCCAACTTTTTTAGAACGTGTTGTTGGCATCAAATACAAAATGGGCATATGTTTTTCAAAAAACAATAAAACCTTTTCAATATTTTCAATGAAATATAGGGTTTAAATGATTTGCACATCAGTGCATTTTGTGTTTATTTACATTTTGTGCATCGTCTCAACTTTTTTGGAAATGGGATTGTCGATATTAGGGACAAAACCATCACTGTAAACCTCACTGCAGGGAGAGAGACTCTCTTATCCAGTATCAGAAACCTGACTGAAGAAAGAGACCAGCTAAAGAGCAGCTACCAGAATCTGACTGAGAAAAACATCATCTTACAAACCAAATATGATTGTTTAATAAAGCTGACTGGTGAGTTAAACACCATCATCACAGTTAATAGGCACAAACATTCCTTCATGCTTCTAAAATATGTTTGTTCTCATTACTGTGTTGTAGAGACTTTTGGAAGCAGCTTTTACTTTTTCTCCACTGAGAAGAAGAGCTGGAGTGAGAGCAGACAGGACTGCAGAGAGAGAGGAGCAGATCTGGTGATCATAAACAGCAGAGAGGAACAGGTGGGGGTAGATTTGTAATTTTATTCATTGATTATTATTGATTATTATTTATACTTTATGTTATTGTTTCTCAGATGTTCCTCACTGACCAAAAGAAAGAGAGGAATTTCTGGATTGGTCTGACTGATGAAGAGACAGAAAACACATGGAAGTGGGTGGATGGCCAACTGCTGACCGACAAGTACGTCAAGATACAAAAAAAGTAGCTGCAGTCAATTTTATACATAATTTTTAATACTTTCTGAGTGAACATTTATGAACTGGTTTGATTTGAGTTCTAGTTTTGTAAATATGTGATGATAACAGATTAATGCTGTGTCTGATTGTTAGATTCTGGAGGAGCGGTGAACCCAACAATGGTCATGGTGGTGGTGAGGAGGACTGTGCTATTTTCACCACTACAGTCAAAGACAGTCAGCGAACATGGAACGATCTTTCCTGCTCAGGGAGAGAAAACTGGATGTGTGAATTCAATCTGACCAACTTCCACCTAAATACTTCAACACTTTTAGATTTTCACTGCTAATCTTGGGATAAAGGCATAATCAGAGGCTTTAGAAGCTGTTGAACTGAAATTTAGAGATTACAGGGCTTGAGCATGTTACTTTAACACAATTTATACATTTAGTTCTGAATAAGAACCAACAGATGTTATACAGAATATACAAATGTATGTGATTCATTATTTCATATTTTTATTGTTAGTTGTTTATATTGCTTTTGAAAATCAAATGATATTTATTACACAGTATAGACGATGTACTTAAATGTATCCGTTACAGTTGAAAGACATTACAATGTGCAAAGACAATTTTATTATCAGTTGTAGAGTTTCTGCTGTTTTTATCATACCTTACAAACACGCTGTGCATTCATGGACCTCTGTTACCATGGAGACTGAAGAGGCAGAGTCTGTAATACTATGATTTTCCACTGGCCTAATGTGCTGCAGGTTGGATGTGGGGTGGGTTCAACACAAAAAATACAGTTAGTTTCAAAAACACACTGTAGAAACTTTTTAAAATATTCATGGATGGTTTTCACTTACATAGAAAGTTTTCTCTGAGTTTGAATCTGAGTCAGAAGGCCGCTTCATCCCAATATTTACTCCCAGATCAGCTAAACTATGTAGCATGACCTAAAATGATATGATGGGTTAAACTCTCTTTTAACATTCAAAGCTTACAGCATGTAAAAATATTGCCCTTTTATGTTATAATGTGTGTGTTAGACATAAGGCAAACATTAAAACAGAAAAAATAAAACAGAAAGCTGGCAATACTGCATGTCTCCTTCTTTGATCAGTTTTTTAATACTAAACAAGAGGGTCTCCCATGGCAGATGCCACATATCCCCTGTTCAAAAGTGAGCCACTCTGGCAACCCATGGAGTTGAAATAAAGTCCTTAAGCCTCACGGAGACTTGTCCAGCACTCTGCAGCGCTCCATTTTTTATGCTGCCCACTGGGCTGCCAAAGCTGGCATAGGTGTCTGCTCTGTCATGCTGCACCGTTAGCCACCACAACCAGCTTCCAGATACCCACCAGCCTAGGCTTGGATCATTGAGGGGTGAGGTATCCCCTCTTCCTGCAGCACTGGCACACCTGACGCTTGGCCACCGGCACCCACTGCTGCGCAAGGCTTCGCTGTTTGTTGCAATTTTACAGTCAAAACTGAAAATCTGTTTCAAGTTACCTGCTCATGTGCACTACAATGCTGCTTTTATTGAACAGGCAGCAAAGGGGAACCCGACGCCTCCCAAGAGCCTCATACAATTTCTGCATAGCTTTTCAGTTCAAACTGAACATTTGTTTCAAGTGATCCTTGAGCTGTTGTACTCGGCAGAATTAGCATGTAGGCCTTTGTTGGCCTTGCTTTGGTTTTCACACCTAAAAAGGTAATTCTGGGTTCTTCTGTAAGCATTTCCTGTCCTGACACGTCTGCATTAGTGCACCCCAGACACTGCAGTCTGTGTAGTGAAGAAGGTTGTAGTTTAGATACAGTACGTCACAATGAGAATGGTGGAGGGAATGTATGCTGGTGTGGGCAGCTTTAAACTGAGTAAGATGGACACAGAGGAGATGACAGTGGTCATTTATTTCAGTGAAGATGCTGTTGGAGCTCAGGATACCAGCACAGAAACACAGGACACCGAGACACAGACGGAGACGAGGACACAGCAAACTACAGGTAGAGTAACTCAAACAGAGACGTCTGCATCATTTCTAAGTGTGCTCACAATGAGAACTGAATGAATACGTAAGTGAACGTTTCCTTTATCAGTTGTTAGAAGAGGAAGCAGATGTTCCAGACTGGCTGTGGTGTGTGTGGGGCTGCTGTGTGTTCTCCTGCTGACCACCAACATAGTGCTGAACATGTACTGTGAGTGTTTCAAACTCAAACATTTCCTCTGTCAAATACAGATATACAGAACACACGCTTTACTGTAAGCCTTGTAATTCTTTCTCAATGCAGATATTAAAGTGAAAGAAAGCATCTATTCCCTGAGAGTAAAGTTCACTGCAGAGAGAGAGACCCTCTTATCCAGTATCAGAAACCTGACTGAAGAAAGAGACCAGCTAAAGAGCAGCTACCAGAATCTGACTGAGGACGATCACATCTTACAGACCAAATATGATCATTTAGTAAAGCTGATTGGTGAGTGAAACATCATCCTCACAATTTCTTATCCTAAGTAACAAAGTACATTTCTAAGGTACTTGTCCCCTCCAAACTACAACCATTCGTTAGAACTCTTTTTAACTGAACTAGACATACCAAAACGGAATTTGTACGACTTTGGATGACAAAATTACAACTTTCTAAATTCCCTAGGGATCTCAAGCATGGACCCACAGCACCCCCAAGGGGTGAAAACGAGAATTACTACGCCACCACCTAAGGATAGTTACTCACAAAGGACTCCAGCAAAACTTATTGATATGCATGTTTGATTATCAACCTTATCTAATTTACAAGTGATGATGCTTGTATTTATATACTCAGTTTCTTAGTGTGTATTCATCCTTTCTTTTACCAGATGTTAGGAATGTGTGGGATAACCGTCTGAAAGTTACCTAAATAACCATTTAAAGTAGTGATTTTAGAACACTATGTATTTAGAACACTAAGTATGCACCTAGGTTTCCTTTTTCACTTGTTTTATTTAGCCTTCTATTTTTTACTCTTTTCGTTTGCTTGATTTAGTCATTTGAAGTAATGATTTTACTGTGTTGAAAGTTCCTGCAATGAAAAGACACCCAAGGATTATCTATAAAATTGTTTCTGCCTTTGCCATAGTTGTTCTCAGATAATGTGGGTAGAAACTGCACGTAGATACCTAAATGTTAGGTTTGTAGGTTATGGATTTTAGTAACCTAACTGATCTGAAAACTGTTTTGTTTAGTCGAATTAAACTTTTAAACCTAGAAGGAACAAAGGAGGGAGTTCCCTGGTAGGGCGCACAGAGAAACCCCCACCAATCAGGACCAAGAATTAGGAATAGCTAATTACTCCGTTAGGTGAGAGAACCTATCAACACCTGGGTTCCACCCCTGAAGGGAAGGGCCTCCAGCTGAACAAAACCAGAGTGCACCGCAAATTTGGAGAGTTCCTGCGTTCGCAACAAGTTTCTAAGTTTGTGCCGGCCTTGGTCAGAAAGACAGGTCAGAAGTATTAGGACGCTAAATTATCAGATCTGAAACCTTTGTTTGTTTGCCTGTTCACCTACACACCTTAAGTTTGAACCACCCTCAGAGAAGGAAGGTGGATATTTCTTGTCTGGCCAGGGAGGATATATCCATAACTTTCGATTCTGCTAAAGAGAGGTAGTTAGTTAAATTGGTACCACCAGCCTCAGAACCCTGATTGCAACCTGAACCTCGCCAGCGGAGTGGGAGCGGTTCTGACGCCACGGAGACCCAGCATCGCACCCAGAGCCACGCACTGATCTGTGAACAGATCGACCATCGAAAGGCCGCCCAAGCTCCACCGTCAGACGGCCACGAGACGCCTCCGCCCAATCACTGACGGGTAGGCGCGTGCCCGCACGGAGATGCAGCATCCACGGCCAGCGAGGAGAGGAACCACCGCGTGAGCTCCAGCCTTCGATCGAGTCTGACCTGAGATGACCCCTCCTGAAATCAGCCCCGACTCCAACGTAAGCTGGAACCATCAATTTGCAGTCAGGGCCCTGACGCCAATTTATTTAATAAGAGAACTTTTTATAGGTACATCCAGCCATATAGTTCTTCCCGTCCAGGCTTAGGTTAATTCTCTAGAGGCTCTCCCAAGCGACTCCCCAAACCCACACTGCCTCATACCATTTAGCCGTGAATCACTCTAACTTACTCGAGCTAATTTGTCTTTCATTACTATCACTTTGTTTTGTTTTGTTTTCTGGTTTTATTTTCTATTGTTTATCATTGAATGTAGTCCAAAAGTAGTTTGATATTTAGCCAATCAATTCTCTTTTCTGAAGCATCCTTGGTGCGAGCGTTTCTCTCTCTTGCCCTGGTCTGTAGACTTCAAATAAATCCGGGTTACCTCACACCCTCACATAAGGTTCTAGCAATAATAATATTAAAAATTGCAAAACCCGTTACATCTGATTGTCAGATGCTGGAGGAACGGTGAACCCAACAATTTTCGTTCTGCTGTTTTCAATTTCAGACAATGATGGTCTGCAAACATGGAATGATCTTCCCTGCTCAGGGGGAGAAAACTGGATTTGTGAATTCAATCTGACAAACTTCCACCTAAATACTTCAACTAAACACCTTTAGATTTTCACTGCTAATCTTGAGATAAAATCATAATCAGATAGTTTAGAAGCTTTAAAGCTGAAATATAGAAAATAGAACTTATGCTAATTTTTTGTTTTCTTTTTGTTTTACAGAAAATGTATTGTGATTGATCTTTTTTTTGTTGTTAGTTGTGATATTGCTTTTAAAAATCAAAAAAAATCAAATGATATTGATTACATGGCTTAAATAAATTACAAAGTGAACAGACACTTTTATTATCAGTTGTAGTGTTTCTGCTGTTTTTTACTGTATCTTACAAACATGCTGTGCACTGATGAACCTCTGTTACCATGGAGACTGAAGGGGCGGAGCCTGTACCACCATGATTTTCTATTTGCCTAATGTACTGTAGGCCGGATGTGTGGTGTGTTCAACATAAGATATAGTTAGTTTCAGAAACACACTGTAGAAACTTTTTAAAACAGTCATAGATGGTATTGACCTGTCCAAGCAATTCTCTACAAGCTTGAGTCAGAAGGCTGCTCCATCCCAACATTTACTCCCTGATCAGTGAACCTATGTAGCACAAGCTAACATGATATGATGGCTTAAACTCTTTTTTAAGAGAACAGTGCAGTTTTAAGTTTTAACGTGTGTGTGTGTGTGTGTGTGTGTGTTAAAGATGAGGAAAATATTAAAAGAAAAAAATAAAACAGAAAGCTGGTAATGCAGCGTGTCTCTTTCTTTGACCTTTTTTTTTTACCTTACAAGAGGTAGTTTACACCTGGAGATAAGGGGAACTCCGTTAAGATGGATCCCAACTCGGTTATTGAAGTAACTTCAGCTCAGTTACAAACCTAAGATCACTATGTGCAGTGCAATGGACAGGTGTAAAACATGCCGCCACTAGACTTTACACTATATGGACAAATATTGATATGAAAGTACTAAGACATCCCTACTAATTATTGAGTTTAGGTGTTTTAGCCACACCCATTGCTAACAGGTGGATAAAATTAAGCTTTACAGTTTCAATGGACAAACAATGGCAGTAGAATGAGTCATACTGAAGAGCTTAGTGACTTTAAACATGGCATTGTCATAAGATGCCACCTCTGCCACAAGTCAGTTTGTGAAATTTCTGTCTTGCTAGATCTGCCCGTCAAAAGTGCTATTACTGTGAAATGGAAGCCTCTACAAACAACAGCTTAACCATGAAACGGTAGACCACGCAAACTCACAGAGCAGGGCCAGTGAGTGCTGAAGCGCACAGGGCCTATCCTCTGTTAAATCCCTCACTGAAGAGTTCCAAATTGCCTCTGGAAGCAACATCAGCGACAGAACTGTGCATTAGGAGCTTCACGAAAAGCCAAGCAGCTACACACAAGCCAGTCAAGTCAAAAATTTTTTATATATAGCACTTTTTACAACAGATGTAGTGGCAGCACCAACACTCTTACCATAATCCTCTATGTCCATGAACCTCCTAGATCTGCACCCTTTAGCTAACAGGAAAAACTTATTACGAAAGACTTGACTAAACAAGTAGGTTTTTAGCCTAGACCTAAAGACTAAGGCTGTGTCGGAGTCCCGAACACTGACTGGAAGATTATTGCAAAGCTTAGAGGCTTTGTATGAAAAGGATCTCCCCCCTGATGTAACTTTATTAATTCTAGGTACTAATAGCAAGTCAGCACCTTGTGATCTAAGAGTGATGGTTCATAATAAGAGAAAAGTTCACTGAGGTACTGAGGCGCCATTTAGGACTTTATATGTCAGTAAAAGAATTTTGTACTCAATGCATAATTTAACTGGCAACCAGTGTAGGGTTGATCAAACTGGGCTGATTTGGTCAAACTTTCTGGTTCTTGTAAAGTTCTGACTGCAGAATCCAAAACGGCCAGACAGCAGGGTAGTAATGCAGCGTTAAGGTAATAAATGCATGAAATAGCTTTTCTGCATCCTGTAGAGAGAGTGCCTTTCTTGATTTAGCAATATTGCAAAGATGGAGAAAAGCTTTTCTAGTAATACTGGACATATGTGAATCGAAGGACAGATCAGGATCTATCGTGACACAAAGGCAAGGTTTTTTATAGATGTATCTGATGCAACTGACAGATTAGTAGGTTTAAGCATTAAATTAGTTTGTTTCTAGCAGCCTAAGATAAAAAAACACAGTGACAAATGGTGCATGTTTCTGGAGCAGTGGAAACACATTCTGTGGAGAAACGAATCACACTTCTCTATCTGGCAGTCTGATGGACGAGTCAGGGTTTGAGTGCCAGGAGAACGTTACCTGCCTGACTGCACTGTGCCAACTGTAAAGTTTGGTGGAGGAGGGATAATGCTATGGGGTTGTTTTTCAGGGGTTGGCCTAGAACCCTTAGTTCCAGTGAAGGAAAGTCTAAATACTTCAGCATACCAAGATATTTTGGACAACTGTACGCTTCCAACTTTGTGCAAAACGAAGAAGCTGCTGGTATTCTCAAAACAATGGACTGACCACCCCAGAGCCCAGACCTCAACATCACTGAATGTGTTTGGGATTATGTGGATGGTGAGAAGCAGAAAATGCAAGCAACAAAAATGTCCCTGCAGATTTCTCTGCAAAACTGAAAGCAACTCTCCTGAAAGGAATCGTAGATGTAATAAAGGCAAAGAGTGAACACAGTAAATACTGAAAAAAATGTTTTCTGCCTTTATTAGTCTGAAATCTAAATAACTTGTACATAAAGCCTGTTTTGATTGGAAACTAAACAAATGACCTTTGACTTTTCTAAAGTATTAAATATACTAATGGGACAACCTCTCACTCTCTGTCTCACACAGACAATGATTCAATGGGTCTAATGTGTCCTTTCATAGCCTGTGCATCTTTGAGCTCATATGTGCAGCAGAGAGAGCACAAATATATTTTAGGCCTGTTTTCACACCTCTTTTTTTGGAAGCTTCTCTGACGTTATTTCCTGTCTAGCCACTTCTTCATTAGTGATCTCTGCAGTCTCTGTACTGAAGTTTAGTAAAGTATTAGAGAGAGAGAGAGAGAGAGAGAGAGAGAGAGAGAGAGAGAATGGCAGAGGGAATCTATAATAATGTGAGCAGTGTTGAGCTGAGTGAAGCAGACAGAGGAGAGAGAGTGGAGAAGACGGTGGCGATTTATATGAGTGCAGACGCTGTTAGAGCTCAGGAGACCAACACACAGAGGGAGACAACAACTCAGCAGACAGGTAGAGTAACTCTCAGTGCACAAACTCTCAGTGTGTTCACAATGAGAACTTCTTCTAAGTCAGTTCACTCTTTATCAGACGTTAGAACAGGAATCAGATGTTCCAGACTGGCTGTGGTGTGTGTGGGGCTGCTGTGTGTTCTCCTGCTGACCACCAACATAGTGCTGTACATGTACTGTGAGTGTTTCAGTCTAAACACAAATTCTTCATCTTCAAAATACAGATATACAGAATGCATCTGCTGTAATATAAAAACTGTAATTCTTTCTTAATGTAGATATTAGAGACCAAACCATCATTGTAAACATCACTGCAGGGAGAGAGACCCTCTTATCCAGTATCAGAAACCTGACTGAAGAAAGAGACCAGCTAAAGAGCAGCTACCAGAATCTGACTGAGGACGATCACATCTTACAGACCAAATATGATCATTTAGTGAAGCTGATTGGTGAGTGAAACACCATCCTCACAATTAATCAGCACAAATATTCCTTCATGCTTCTAAAATATATGTTTGTTCTCATTGCTCTGTTGTAGAGAAAAGCTGGTTTAAAGAACTGAAGACTTTTGGAAGCAGCTTTTACTTTTTCTCCCCTGAGAAGAAGAGCTGGAGTGAGAGCAGACAGGACTGCAGAAAGGGAGGAGCAGATCTGGTGATCATAAACAGCAGAGAGGAGCAGGTGAGAATATATCTATATTTTAGATAGATAGATAGATAGATAGATAGATAGATAGAGGGGAGAGAGAGAGACTTTTTTTATACTTGTTTTTCTTTTTCCAGATGTTCTTCATTGACCAAAAGAAAGAGAGGAATTTCTGGATTGGTCTGACTGATGAAGACACAGAAAACACATGGAAGTGGGTGGATGGCCAACCGCTGACTGATGAGTATGTCATGATACAGAAAGTAGTTGATGTGAATATTATACATCATTTTTAATACTTCTATTCATTATCTTGTTGTGTTCCATTTATATTTAAAGTAAAGCTACGATTTTCTCTGACAGTTTATGAAGGTGTTCTTGTGCAGAACATGAAGGTGTTCTTGTGCAAACAGGCACTGTTTGTATAGAGTAAAGACCCTCAGTAGCTGCTGTGAACTGGTTTAATTTGAGTTCTTGTTTGTAAACATGTGATGATTACAGATTAATGCTGTGTCTGATTGTCAGATTCTGGAGGCCAAATGAACCTAACGATGCTGGTGGTGAGGAGGACTGTGCTATTTTCACCACTGCAGACAAAGACAGTCAGCGAACATGGAACGATCTTCCCTGCTCAGGGAGAGAAAACTGGATGTGTGAATTCAATCTGACAAACTTCCACCTGAATACTTCAACTAAACACCTTTAGATTTTCACTGCTAATCTTGGTATAAAGGCATAATCAGATAGTTTAGAAGCTGTTGAGCTGAATTTTATAGAATGCAGGGCTGGAGCCATTACACTTTAACTTAATTCATAATTTTAGTTCTAAATAAGAGCCAACAGATGTTATACAGAACATACAAAAGTATACAAATAATTATTTCATATTTTTTTGTTAATTGTTTATATTGCTTTTGAAAATCAAATGATATTGACTACATGAAGTAGACAGGATATTTAAATGTATCATTAGGTTTAAAGACATTACAAAGTGAACAGAACCTTTTATTATCAGTCGTAGAGTTTCTGCTGTTTTTACAAACATGCTGTGCATTGATGAACCTCTGTTACCATGGAGACTGAAGGGGCAGAGCCTATACTACCATAATTTTTCACTGGCTGAATGTGCTGTAGGCTGGATGTGGGGTGTGTTCAACACAAGATATAGTTAGCTTCATAAACACACTGTAGAAACTTTTTTAAAACAGTCATAGATGGTTTTCACTTATATAAACAGTTTTCTCTGAGTTTGATATCTGAGTCAAAGGCTGCATCATCCCAACATTTACTCCCTGATCAGTGAATCTATGCAGCATGAGCTAACATGATATGATGGTTTAAACTCTCTTTTCACATTCAAGGCCTACTGTATGTAAAAATACTGCAGTTTTAAGTTATAATGTATGTGTGTGTGTGTGTGTGTGTGTGTGTGTGTGCAAATAGTAAAACAACCCCTGCAAAAAAAAATAAAACAGAAAGCTGGTAATGCAGAATGTCTCTTTCTTTGATCAACTTTTTAATACTGGACAGGAGGGTCTACCTCTGTGCTGTGAAGTGGGACACAGAAGACACAAGAAGCAAGGGGAACCCACCACCCAACGCTGCTGAATGAGAGGGACTTCAGTTCATGCTGAACACTAATAGACTCTATAACCCACACAGAGCACAATAAAGCACAGACAACATCACACCTTTTAAACTAGAAGAACAACAGCAGTGGCAACAGTACCTGATTTATGATGAGGGTGTGGCACCTCTTGAGAGCCTCTTCGAATGGCCACGCCTCTTGTGCTCCCATGGCAGATGCCACATATCCCCTATTCAAAGGTCAGCCGTCCTGGCAACACATGGAGTTGAAATAAAGTCCCTAGGCCTCACAGAGACTTGGCCAGAAAGTACCATGCAACTTAGGGCGACTGCAGCAGTGATCTCACCCCACTATCGCTGCTGCCCACTCTTCTGCTGATGTTGGCGAGGTTGTTGCTCATGTGCACTACAATGCTGCTTTTATTGAACAGGCAGCGAAGGGGAACCTGATGCCTCCCAGGAACCTCACACAATTTCTGCATAATTTTTCAGTTCAAACTGAACATTTGTTTCAAGTGATCTTTGAGCTGTTGTACTCGGCAGAATTAGCATGTAGGCCTTTGTTGGCCTTGCTTTGGTTTTCACACCTAAAAAGGTAATTCCGGGTTCTGTAAGCATTTCCTGTCCTGACACGTCTGCATTAGTGCACCCCAGACACTGCAGTCTGTGTAGTGAGGAAGGTTGTAGCTTAGATACAGTACGTCACAATGAGAACGGTGGAGGGAATGTATGCTGGTGTGGGCAGCTTTAAGCTGAGTAATATGGACACAGAGGAGATGACAGTGGTCATTTATTTTACTGAAGACACTGTTGGAGCTCAGGATACCAGCATAGAAACACAGGACACTGAGACACAGACGGAGACAAGGACACAGCAGAGTACAGGTAGAGTAACTCAAACAGAGACATTTACTTCTAAGTGAGCTGAATAAATAAGTAAGTGAATGTTTTCTTTATCAGTTGTTAGAACAGGAAGCAGAAGGTCCAGACTGGCTGTGGCGTGTGTGGGGCTGCTGTGTGTTTTCCTGCTGACCACCAATATAGTGCTCTACAGTACTTTAACCTCAAAAAACATCAAACACAGATATTTCCTCTTTCAAACACAGATATGCAGAACGCATCTGCTGTAATATAAAAACTGTACGCACTATGCGCCTCAGCATCCGCTGACCCCGCTCTGTCATTTTACGTTGCTGTCGTCCCCAACTGCTTCCACTTTGTTATAATACCACTGACAGTTGACTGTGGAATATTTAGGAGTGAGGAAATTTCACGACTGGACTTGTTGCACAGGTGGCATCCTATCACGGTACCACACTGGAATTCACTGAGCTCCTGAGAGCGACCCATTCTTTCACTAATGTTTGTAGAAGCAGTCTGCAGGCCTGGGTGCTTGGTTTTATACACCTGTGGCCATGGAAGTGATTGGAACACCTGAATTCAATGATTTGCATGGGTGAGTGAAAACTTTTGGCAATGTAGTGTATGTTTTCTGCCTTTTTCCTGAGTCTGAAATCTAAAAAGCATGTACTTAATGGCTGTTTTGACTGGAGATTAAACAAATGACAAATGACCTTTGACTTTTCCAAAGTACTATATATAGTGATGGCACTCACTCTCTCACCCTCTCACTCTCTGTCTCACACATACAATAATAAAATGGGACTAATGTGCCCTTTCATAGCCCGTGCATCTCTGAGCTCATATGTGCAGCAGAGAGAGCACAAATATACTTGAGGCCTGTTTTCACACCTCTGTCGTTGGAAGCTCCTCTGATGTTGTTTCCTGTCCAGCTACTTCTTCACTGGTGAACTCCAGCGCACACTGCAGTTTCTGTACTGAAGGTTTAGTAGAGTATTAGAGGAAAACAGAGAGAGAGAGAATGGCAGAGGGAATCAATAATGATGTGAGCAGTGTTGTGCTATTTAGTGACCTCAGTATTCTGAAGACACAGTGACATTTGTAGAAAATATGATGAAATGGCCAAATGTATTGCCTTTAAAATATTTAGTTTACCACAGGGTGTGATAACAGAGGTTTTAAAAAAAAACGCCATTCATTTTGCCTCTATAGAAAAACTACTTGGGCCCAAAGTTCCTAATATGGAAATGCCACCAACTACAGAATGATGGCAAAATTTCAGAGGTCTGTGGGTGGAAACGTAGATTAACTATTAATCAGTAAATAACCCATGGCAAACCGTATGAACTCTGTGTGCACATTTAGACCTATTTGTTTTGTTGTCTAAATTATTAAAAAGAAAACTTCTTCTTTGGAGGTGGGTAGTAACGTGTTACATTTACTTTTTTTGAACAAACTGTTCTTGTTAAAGTTGTTTTAAAAGAGAGAACATTATACTCTTACTTGAGTATATTTGTAATGTTAAAAATGTACTTTTACTCTGTTACACTCATCTACGTTCCTCCCGTTAGATTTTTAAACATTTTTTCAATTCAACACATTTTTGACCAATCAAAATTTTAAACTTTGTTCTTCAACAGAGGGTTCATCCCAACAAACTGAAGACATATACTCACTTAACAGAGTCTAGAAGGCAAAAATCATCAGCTATAGAGCCTTCTGTGAAGAGCGCCAAGGTCACAAGTGCTTTTTTCCTCTCTCCCAAACATAACACAGGCAATGGTACATAGGTTATTAGATAAGCCTGTATATAGGCTGTATATAAGGCTGTGATTTTCTATTTTTATTTTGATTATTAATGGAGATCTCACTGCTTGCATAGTCTTTTTACTAGATACTTTCTTAATTTTATTGAAGTGTTCATTTTAATGACTACTTTTGCTTCTACTTGAGTAATTATTATTTTAAATTAACAATACTTTTACTTGAATTCAGTTTTTGGCTACTTTATGCACCTCTGTTTTTCTTAAAGCTCTACAGAATCTGAACCTCCACTGTGATGTACAGAATGTTTCTCGCTCACTCTGCAATCATCATGTACATTATTACAAAACTATTTCTACTCATTTTTGCACCAAGTAGTTTATTTCTGCTATTTCTTTCTTTTGATTCTTTCCTCCTTTCTATTTCTACAGTGCTGCAAATGCTTGCCACTAGTAAAGCTAACTGGTATGCATTGCAGTACATTTGGTAGTACATTGTAATACAATCTCTTTTATATTAAACCATTGTTAACCATCAATATCTTTCCTCTGCATCATTTTCATTTATACATGATTTAAAGAGTAAGTGATGTAACACCTTAGATTAGATAGATTGTCGAGAAAAAAATGACTGATACCTAAATGTAGAATGAGCTTAAGTGATATGATGGCTAAGTCCCTTTTAGTACTCCATACATGTGTAAAACATTATACTTTTAATGAAAAATGTGTACCTGTTAAGCCTCATTTATACTCCCTTTATGTATAAAAAAGAATATGTCCATTTCAAACGACGTAACCCTCACTGCCCACATATGCCCACATGCATCCTTTACGTTGACATGGATGTTAAGCAAAGCGGCCACTAGAGGGCAGCCCAAAGTCAAAACAACAAACATGGCAACAGTGGATGAGGTCATAACAATGTACCTACTATGAAAGAGATGAAAGAGGCAGTATTGTAGATGGCAGTAGTCTGTGAGTCCAATAAATACTTCTTCATTTATTCCTTTTTTCCAATGTCATCTAAAATAACAGCTTCAGAATCATTTTGATGGTACACTGACTAAAAAATAGGGAGAATTGCATCTCTGTCTTTACCATTGCAGGCCTGGAACACCTACTATAGCACTATGTAACCGTGGAGGAGCGGGCACAAAACCTGTGGCTCCTCTTCATTATCACATGCACATGTTGCTTGTTGTGTTAGTTTGCCTCTTGTCTCTTCACATAATTCTTAGTCATGTTTCCAAGCGCGACTTATTAGTTCTGCTTTTGGACTGTGTCCTGCTTTGGTTTGGTGATGGCTGCTTGATGGACTTGCTGCAGTTTGTCCTTCTGCCTATCTGGTGAGCCCTGGCTCTTGAAATTCATCCATACTTCTCTGACTAACTATTTTGTTTTCAATAAACAAATGAAAGAAAAATGATACACAACAGTGCTAAGTAACTGTAGGAATAAAAAAGACAGTGATGCTGTTGCGGTTGCCAGCTGAGATGTTGTGAGATTAATGTGTTGATGTGTTACAGTTTTTAATGTGGAGTTGGTGCTCTTCATTGGCAAAAACACTTCTCTCTGTGTACAGCTCCCCACAATACCAACAACATTTGTATTTCCTTCCCCAACCAGCCAGCCTGACCACATGACCACAGCATATTACCCATTCAGCATAGCTCACTGGTTTGAGCAGCACGGGTCACTATTACTTAAAACAATGACAGACCCAAGATTATAATTGCAACATATGATTACAATATGATTGCACAACAACATCTATCATAATAAACAAACTATTTGTCTGGTTAAGCGCTTCAAAACATTAGGAAAGCAGCACGATTTCCTGCAACAGCTACACCATGCATCTCTGAGCTGATGTGTGCAGCAAAAAGACCACATATATACTTGAGGCCTGTTTTCACACCATTGTGGTTAAAAGCTCCTCTGACGTTATTTCCTGTCCAGCCTCGTTTTCATTAGTGAACTCCAGCTAACAATGCAGATTCTGTACTGAAGGTTTAGTAGAGTATTAGAAAAACAGAGAGAGAGAGAGAGAGAGAGAGAAGAGAGAGAGAGAGAGAATGGCAGAGGGAATCTATAATAATGTGAGCAGTGCTGAGCTGAGTGAAGCAGACAGAGGAGAGAGAGTGGAGAAGACGGTGGAGATTTATATGAGTGCAGACGCTGTTAGAGCTCAGGAGACCAACACACAGAGGGAGACAACAACTCAGCAGACAGGTAGAGTAACTCTCAGTGCAGAAGCTCTCAGCGTGTTCACAATGAAAACTGTGTTCACAATGAAAACTTCTAAGTCAGTTCACTCTTTATCAGACGTTAGAACAGGAATCAGATGTTCCAGACTGGCTGTGGTGTGTGTGGGGCTGCTGTGTGTTCTCCTACTGACCACCAACATAGTGCTGTACATGTACTGTGAGTGTTTCAGTCTCAACACAAATTCTTCATCTTCAAAATACAGACATACAGAATGAATCTGCTGTAATATAAAAACTGTAATTCTTTCTTAATGTAGATATTAGAGACCAAACCATCATAGTAAACATCACTGCAGGGAGAGAGACCTTCTTATCCAGTATCAGAAACCTGACTGAAGAAAGAGACCAGCTAAAGAGCAGCTACCAGAATCTGACTGAGGACGATCACATCTTACAGACCAAATATGATCATTTAGTGAAGCTGACTGGTGAGTGAAACACCATCCTCACAATTAATCAGCACAAATATTCCTTCATGCTTCTAGAATATATGTTTGTTCTCATTGCTCTGTTGTAGAGAAAAGCTGGATTAAAGAACTGAAGACTTTTGGAAGCAGCTTTTACTTTTTCTCCCCTGAGAATAAGAGCTGGAGTGAGAGCAGACAGGACTGCAGAAAGGGAGGAGCAGATCTGGTGATCATAAACAGCAGAGAGGAGCAGGTGAGAATATATCTATATTTTAGATAGATAGATAGATAGATAGATAGAGGGGAGAGAGAGACTTTTTTATACTTGTTTTTTTTTTTCAGATGTTCTTCATTGACCAAAAGAAAGACAGCAGTTTCTGGATTGGTCTGACCGATGAAGATGCAGAAAACACATGGAAGTGGGTGGACGGCCAACCGCTGACTGATAAGTATGTCATGATACAGAAAGTAGTTGATGTGAATATTATACATCATTTTTAATACTTCTATTCATTATCTTGTTGTGTTCCATTTATATTTAAAGTAAAGCTACGATTTTCTCTGACAGTTTATGAAGGTGTTCTTGTGCAGAACATGAAGGTGTTCTTGTGCAAACAGGCACTGTTTGTATAGAGTAAAGACCCTCAGTAGCTGCTGTGAACTGGTTTAATTTGAGTTCTTGTTTGTAAACATCTGATGATTACAGATTAATGCTGTTTCTGATTGTCAGATTCTGGAGGTCAAATGAACCTAATGATGCTGGTGAGGAGGACTGTGCTATTTTCACCACTGCAGACAAAGACACTGAGCGAACATGGAACGATCTTTCCTGCTCAAGGAGAGAAAACTGGATGTGTGAATTCAATCT